TTAAGCCTTTCCATCTCATGCATGTACCCGAATAGGACAAGTGCCACCGCCTCACATATAACTGTGTCCACAGTTGCAGGCAAAGGAAGGCGAACATATCACTCAGGCTTCCACACCTTTGTGATCCCTCCATTGGAGACAGCAATCACTTTCCTCTTTGGGCTACTGCTTAGAGATATACTGCCTCATTCGCTCTCTAGCCTAACTTACGAAGGCCAGCTTGTTCTAAGGGCCTTCCTGGCAATCGGAAACAGCTTGCCTGCTACCTGAATTGGATATGTAACATTCGTCTGTCCTACTTGGAGGAAACGCTTACAACCAGACCACCCTGTTTTCATGTGGCGCCTTTCAGATTAAGAGAAATATTTGACCCCATTATTCTATGACTCCTATAAAATCCTACAACAGATGCAGAGAAAAATGTAAAGAAATCAATGACATATAAGTGAGGCTGAACCTGCCAAGTCCAGAATGTTTTGTAATCTTGTTCTTATTAATTTCATATTGTCTCTGAAGAGGAGAAGTAAAAAAAATGTACATTTTCAAAGATCTATTACTTCCTCAAGACAATAAAAAGTAAATTGGAGATATAAAAAATGTGGCCCATAAGTATCTTTTTCCCACTCTGGAATTGTCCCTTCCACAAAAAGAGGCAGCTCCCATTCCCATCCTCCCGGGGACCCTCCTCCACTAAACCTGGTGTATTTAGTTTTAGATGTGTGGCAAAAACTAAAACTGCACCATGAGACAGGATAGACACATAGATAGAATTCACTCTGAAAACACGGAAGTGAGAATTTAGCCATGAATTAGATATGGCTCATCCCTTCAACTTCTTTCGGGTCTCTGCTCAAATATCACCTTCTCTATGAGGCCCTTCCTGACGCACATGCACAACAATATCCCCACCTCTTCTCTCTACCCGCCTGACTCTGCTTTACTTGCTCTATTTGCTCGTGGTGCCCATCCCCACCTGACACGTTGTACACATATCTCTCTCTCCCATGCCGGAAGGTGACTTGAGAGGTGACATCTGATTCACTGCAACAGGCCAGTACTAGAAAGTACCCCATACTCAAGTACAGATGCTCCTCCACTTACAATGGGGTTACATCCTGATAAACCCATTGTAGGCTGAAAATATACTAAGTCAAAAATGCATTTAATAGGCCAGGCACGGTGGCTCACACCTGTAATCCCGACACTTTGGGAGGCCGAGGCGGGCGGATCATGAAGTCAGATGGAGACCATCCTGCCTAACACGGTGAAACCCCATCTCTACTAAAAATACAAAAAATTAGCCAGATAGGCCGGGCACGGTGGCTCAAGCCTGTAATCACAGCACTTTGGGAGGCCGAGACGGGCGGATCACGAGGTCAGGAGATCGAGAACATCCTGGCTAACATGGTGAAACCCCGTCTCTACTAAAAAGTACAAAAAACTAGCCGGGCGATGTGGCGGGCGCCTGTAGTCCCAGCTACTCTGGAGGCTAAGGCAGGAGAATGGTGTAAACTCGGGAGGCGGAGCTTGCAGTGAGCTGAGATCCGGCCACTGCACTCCAGCCTGGGCGACAGAGCCAGACTCCATCTCAAAAAAAAAAAAAAAAAATTAGCCAGATGTGGTGGCGAGTGCCTGTAGTCTCAGCTACTCAGGAGGCTGAAGCAGAAGAATGGCATGAACCCGGGAGACAGAGCTTGCAGCGAGCCAAGATGGCGCCACTGCACTCCAGCCTGGGTGACAGAGCAAGACTCTGTCTAAAAAAAAAATGCATTTAATAGAACTAACCTACCAGACATCATTGCTTAGCCTAGCCTACCATACACGTGCTCAGAATACTTACATTAGCCTACAGTTGGGCAAAAACGCCTAACACAAAGCCTTTTTAATAATAATGTTGAGGCCGGGCGCGGTGGCTGAAGCCTGTAATCCCAGCACTTTGGGAGGCCTAGACGGGCGGATCACGAGGTCAGGAGATCGAGACCATCCTGGCTAACACAGTGAAACTCCGTCTGTACTAAAAAATACAAAAAACTAGCCGGGCGACGTGGCGGGCGCCTGTAGTCCCAGCTATTCGGGAGGCTGAGGCAGGAGAATGGCGTAAACCCGGGAGGCGGAGCTTGCAGTGAGCTGAGATCCGGCCACTGCACTCCAGCCTGGGCGGCAGAGCGAGACTCCATCTCAAAAAAAAAAAAAAAAAAAAAAAAAATTAATAATAATAATAATGTTGAATATCTCATGTAATCTGTTGAATACAGCACTGAAGTACGGTTTCTACTGAATGTGTTTTACTTTAGGACTATTGTAAAATCAAAAAATTGTTCAGTCAAACCATCATAAGTTAGGGGCCATCTCTATTTGGTGAAAGAACTATTCCATCTGTCCATCTAGCCACCCACCTACCCTTTCACGTTCCATCTACCCACCCTTTAGTAAAAGCTAATGATGAGTGAGGCACCATGATGACCATTTTATACACGGGTGAAGAGAACAGACACAGTATTTGCTCTTAGAGGGACAGCTAGCAGGCAGCTGTGTGTACAAAAAAATACAAAGCTATGTTTCGGATAAGTGCCCAAGGGTGCCATGAGAAAGAAAAAAGGAAGAACCTGTGTACAATTAGGGAATCAGGGATGTGCAGAGCACACAGGACGCAGGCAGGTGCAGTGGGGGGAGCTTGCTGGTTGTGACAAGGGACAAAGTGGTGTGAAAGACAAGAAGGGTCAGACCACACCTGCCAGCAACCACTGCTCTGTGTGCATGGTAGGTCGCAGGTGGTAACTTGGAAGTGAATTCATCAGTGACATGCAAGTATCAACTTTATTTACAAGATTTATAGAAGGGATGAACAAACTTAAAATGTTTGCTCCTACACTGATTATAAAAGAGTACTAAAATCAACTATGAAAATGTGGGTTTAAATTCCTATTTGTTCTGCATCAATGAAGATGTGAAGACGCTTCTTGAGTGTCTGAGAAAAATCTTGGTATGAGGAGTAAACATAGCTGAAACACTTTGGGCAACAGAATACCACGAAAGTCCCTTCACACTGTTGTTCTGAATGACATTTCTGACCAGAGAGTGGTGTCAACATTCACATTCAGGAGAATGATTTAATGTGTATTGTCTTAAAAACAAATCCTTAAAAGATTGGATTATCTTTTTTCCCTAGAGTAAAATATCTCCTAAGACGTTTGTTTCCTGGGATTAATTTTCTCCTAAAAGTATAGAATGTGCAACACTTTTGATTAAATGAGGCTCTCTTTATTGAACTAGAAACTCTTTGAAGGGAGGCATTATCTCTGGACTTCCAGCACCAGGACCAGTGCCTGGCCCATAGGAGACCCCAAAAATATGTTGGATGAGATGAAAGGGTCCCAGTTAGTCAAGATTTTGCTGAGTCTGGATTAGCATAAACCCCACTCTCAATATAGTGTTGGTCACACGCTAGCTGTGAGATTACAGGTCGTGGGATGGACTTTTTGGAAAATTAAATGAAATCATGACTTACAAAGAGTACCCATCCTGGAGGCTGGGACTTCGCAGTCAATCAATTAGTGGCAGAGAACACTGTTTTGTATTCAAGAAGAACCATGATTGTTCCTCGCTTTTACACTACCACCTTAACTGCCTTCTATCAGAATCTTACCTTGGCATAAAACCACTAACCCATTGACATATTTTGCGGTCAAACAGCCCCACAGAGTGACTGCAGAGCCTCTCTGGTCAAGAGCCAACACATAAGATGGCCATCAACAAGGCAAGGTCAGTGATGTGTAGGTGGAAGAATTGCCACTGACTTCCCATCAAGGCAGACTCAGTACCAATGGGCAAATCACAGGCTCTGTTCTTGAGCCATGTGTGCTCATTTCTCATCATGGCCACTAGCCCTAGCCCCTGCAGACAGGGTACAGGAGCCCAACAAGAGGGAGTTAATAGTCCCAGTTAACAGTTACCTTCACTTGGAACTTTGTCAGTAATAAAGGCATGCTGTGAATTACAGAGTGGACTGCCAATCCGTTCTTGGTGACAGGACTCTGAAGAAAGCATCCAAGTGGATGACAGTCCTTATCAATGAATTATCCATCTTCAGGATCCAACTAAAGTGGTAACATTCAATTTTTACATCATGTCCACTGCTCTAAAGAAGCACAAGAGTGGAGAAAACTGCTTGAGCAACCAGAATCAAGAATGTGGAGGCCAGGTGCAATGGCTCACGCCTCCCAACACTCTGGGAGGCCAAGGCAGGTAGATCACTTGAGGCCAGAAGTTCGAGACAAGCCTGGCCTACGTAGTGAAACCCCTACTCTACTAAAAAAAAATCCAAAAATTAGCAGGCTTGTAATCCCAGCTATTTGGGAGGCTGAGGTGGGAGGATGGCTTGAACCCGGGAGGTGGAGGCTGCAGCGAACCAAGATTGCACCACTGTACTCCAGCCTGGGTTACAGAGTGAGACTCTGTATTAAAAATAATAAATAAATAAATAAATAAGAATGTGGGCTGACGAGCATTTCTGCTTGCTGCCCTGGAAGTCTTCTACGAACAGGCCGGGAGTGCAGATGCACACAACAATCTATCTGCACATGAGTCCATCATTTCAAGACACAAAACGCTCAGGCTTTTGTTGACAATTGGCCATACAGAAGTACCGTATTGCTACTGCTGGAAGACAAAGGCTTTTAATATACAGTTCACCTGCCACCTTCAACTCTAGGCCTGCTCAGCACTGAGAGAAAATGCGACATAAATTACGTTGCCAGAGGGCTTTATTTTTCTTTTAAACATATCTTTATTCTTTTTCAAGTTCCAAAAGCAATATACATTTATTATTTTAAAACAGCTTGAAATTAAAACTGTATTATTTTACAACACCTTGAAACTAGAATTTCAATTTAGAAAATAAAAATTCTAACTAGAAAAAAATTCTATCGAATCCTCCTAATTCTCCTAATCTCATTCCACTTCTAGGTAATTTTCTCTTTTCTATCTCTAAGTACGTTGTTTAAAATATGAAATGCTTCACAAATTTGTGCACCATTCTTGCACAGGAGCCATGCTAATCTTCTCTGTACTGTTCCAATTTTAGTATATGTGCTGTCAAAGAGAGCTCCAGGTAGTTTTCTGTGTATAGACTAAAGAAAAAAAACTAAATAATACCTTCTACAATGAGGTATAATTTCTGCCCATTGGATTAAGTTAAATTTTTTAAAAGTTGGCAAGGGTATCACTCCCATACTATTCATAAAATTGTAATTTCACAAAGCCTTTTTTTGGATGGTATTTTGGCAGAATTTATTAAAATTTAAAATGCTAGCTGGGCATGGTACATGTGCCTACAGTTCCAACTACTTGGGAGACTGAAGTGGGAGGTTTGCTTAAGACCAGGAGTTCAAGTCCAGCCTGGGCAACATGGTAAGACCCTGCCTCTAAAAAATACAATAAAATAAAATGCACACATACCATCAGACCCAGTAAATCTGCTACTAGGAATCTATGCTGGAGAAAGACTAGTTTGGGCATACAAAGGTGTGTTCAAGTATGTTCTTTTTTTCTTAACATGTCTACCAATATGGGAATGCTTACAAGGTACATCTCTACTATGGAATACAACACAGTGGCTAAATAGAATGAGGTAAGCCCATATGTACTGATCTGGAAAGGTCTCTGAGATACCCTGTTAAGTGGGGGGGGAAAGCAAGTTATCAAATAGAAATAACAGAATCCTCTTTGTGTTAAAAAACACACAAAATAATACATAGTAGTTGTATATGTATATATTCAAATCAGCCAGGAAGAACACACACCAAATAGCAGTGAGAGTACAGTGGAGCTAGGCAGAGAGGGGAAAATAAAGTCAAGGAAGAATTTCATTTTACTTGTACTATTTGAATTTTTTACTTCCATTAGCAAGCACCTCTTTATTAAATGTAAAAAGAATAATGAAATAAATCTTTCATTCAGTTGATATATTTGAGTATGGCATGAGGTAGGGATCTAACTCCCCTTCCAAACTGCCCCTCTCTGTATAGTTTGAGTCTGTTTAGAAGATTTCCCTTGCGTTCTTTTGGTCTATTATCACATCATTATCACTTGCGGTGGCTTTTATAGGATGCTTCAACATCGTTTTCAAAACTCTTAAAGGTATCTTTTAATTTTTTTAAACTTCTTTTTAATCTGTTTAGAACTTACTTTCTTCCCTTCTTCCCTTCCTTTTCTTTCTTCTTTGTGTTTTTTTTTTTTCCTTTTTTTGAGACAGGGTCTCAGTCACCCAGGCTGGAGTGCAGTGGTGTGAACATGGCTCCTTGCAGCCTCGACCTCCTGGGCTCAAGTGATCCTCCCACTTCAGCCTCCTGAGTAGCTGTGACTACAGGCACATACCACCATGCCTGGCTAATTTTAAAATTTTTTTGTAGAGACAGGGTCTTGCTATGTTGCTCAGGCTGGTCTTGAACTCCTGGCCTCAAGTGATCCTTCCACCTTGGCCTCCTAAAGTGCTGGAATTATGGGCGTGAGCTACCATGCCTGGCTGGAATTTAATTTTCTTCCATGGTATACATTTTCCATTTAGCTGAGTCTGATGTATCCATAATCCGAACTTGCATTTCAACTAATCTTGGTTATCTACCAAAGAATTAAGATCTTTAAAAATATGACAGTGCGTTGGCAGCTCACCTGTGATAGAGTCATGCAATGTTCTGGTCATGTTCATTAATCTGGTGTTAAGATACACATAATACCTCAGAAATCAGTTCTAGCTTCCCAATGTTAGAAATGCTATTAAAATTGACTGAACATAGAAACCATGGAGAACACACTTTAACCTTTCATAAGAGTTACAAGGTACTTTAGGTTCAAATAGGCCCTTAGAGTCAGTGTTTATCTCTCAATTGAACCTCACAGCACCTAACATGCCTCACCATTACAATAAGGGACTGGAGCTCCCAAGCCCCATGGCCTGCTCCGGTATTCTAGTATGATCAAGTTATCTTGCACAGAATGAAGCAGGACTCCTACCTTTTCGGGGTGATAAAATCTACCTAACACTGTACATAAAAATTAACTCAAAATTGATCAAAGACCTCTAAGAGCTGAAATTATAAATCTCTTAGAAGAAATTAAAGACATATATTTTATGACCTAGGACTAGGCAGTGGTTGCTTAGATATGACACCTAAAGCACAAATGATAACAGAAAATATAGCTAAATTAGACTTCATCAAAATTAAAAACTTTTGTGCTTCAAAGAATACTATGAAGAAAGTGAAAAGACAACCCACAGAATGAGAGACAATATCTGCAAATAATGTATTTAATAAGGATCTAGTACCCAAAATATATAAAGAAAGAGCTCTTGCAACTCAACAATAAAAAGATAAATAACTCAATTTTAAAAGGTCAAAAGAGCCCGGGCATGGTGGCTCATGCCTGTAATCCCAGCACAGCACTTTGGGGGACCAAAGCGGGAGGATCACTTGCGGTCAGGATTAGAGACCAGCCTGGCCAACATGGTGAAACCCCGTCTCTACCAAAAATACAAAACCGGGCGTGGTGGCATGTGCCTGTAGTGCCAGCTACTCAGGAGGCTAAAGCAGGAGAATCACTTGAATTTGGGAGGTAGAAGTTACAGTGAGCAGAGATCACACCACGGCATTTCAGCCTGGGTGACAGAGTAAGACTCCATCTCAAAAAAATAAAATAAAATAAATAAATAAATAAAATGTCAAAAGACATGAATAGATATTTATCTAGAGAAGACTTAACAATGGCCTATAAATACATTAAAGGGTACCCGATATCATAAGGCATCAGGAAAAGGTAAACCAAACCACAATGACATACCACTTCACATCCATTAGGGTAGCTATAGTCAAAAGGACAGAAAATAATGCCAAGTGTTGATGAGGATGCAGAGAAACCGGAACCCTCATACACTGCTGGTGGCAATGTAAAACGGTGTAGCCATTTTGGAAAACAGGCTGGCAGCTCCTCAAATGGTTAAACATAAAATGACCGTGTAACCCAGCAATTCCACTCCTAGATATACAGTTGACCCTTGAACAACACAGGTTTGAACTTTGTAGATCCACTCATATGTGAATTTATTTCAATAAATATGTTGGAACATTTTTTGGAGATTCGTGACAATTTGGAAAAACTTGTAAACTATGTAGCCTAGAAATGCTGAAAAAATTAAGAAAAAGGCATGTCATGAATGCATAAAATATATGTTCATACTAGTCTATTTTATCATTGACTACCATAAATCTATTATAAAACATTAAAATTTATCAAAACTTTTGCACAAACAGACTGTACATGGCACCATTTATAGTCAAGAGAAATGTAAACAAAGATGCAATATTAAATAATCACTGCATAAAATTAAATACAGTACATACTGTATGACTGTAATAATTTTTTTGTTTTTGCCTTTTTTTTTTTTTTTTTTTTTGAGACGAAGTCTCACTCTGTAGCCCAGGCTAGAGTGCAGTCGTGTGATCTCGGCTCACTGCAACCTCCGCCTCCCGGGTTCAAGTGAATTCTTGTGCCTCAGCCTCCTGAGTAGCTGGACTTACAGGCACGCACCACTGCACCAGCTAATTTTTTTGTAGTAGAGACAGGGTGTCACCATGTTGGCCAGGCTGGTCTTAAACTCCCAACCTCAGGTAATGCACCTGCCTTGGCCTCCCAAAGTACTAGGATTACAGGCGTGAACTACCGCACCTGGCCACTACTGTAATAATTTCATAGCCACCTCCTGTTGCTACTGCTGTGAACTCAAGTGTCACAGGTATCCAACAGCTAGATGCTAGTGATCTCTATGTGAGCAGTTCATCTCTCCAGCACACTGCTTATTCCAATAAAAAGTGATCTCTTGCGGTTCTCATGTAGTTTTCATCGTGTTTAGTGCAATACCGTAAACCCTGAATAATACCATGCACCCCATATGAAGTGCCACTAGTGATGCTGAAAGTGCTCCCAAGGAAAGAGAAGGGTCATGACATTACAGGAAAAAGTTGAATTGCTTGATGTGTACCAGAAATTGAGGTCTGCGGCTGTGTGGTTGCCTGTCATTTCAGATAGACAATTCGTCTTGTAGACAGACAACGTAAACTTACGGTATTAATACAGTATTTTCTCTTCCTTATGGTTTTCATAGTAACATTTCCTTTTCTTTAGCTTACTTTATTGTAAGAATACATATAGCTTAGAAAATAAGTTGTTAATTGGCAGTAGGCTATTAGTAGTTCAGTTTTGTGGATCCAAAAGTTATACATGGATTTTCGACTGCAGGAGGGGTTGGCGTCCTAACCCCTGTATAGTTTAAAGGTCAACTGTATACCCAATATAACTGAAACCATACATCCTTACAAAAACCTGCATGTGAATGCTCACAGCAGCACTGTCCACAATAGCCAAAAAGTGGAAACAACCCCAACGTCCACCAACGGATGAATGGACAAACAAAATGTGGGATATCCACACGACGGGATATTATCCAGAAACAAAATGGAATGAAGTACAGATACATGCTATGATACAAGTGAACCCTGAAAGCGTTATGCTACGTGAAAAAAGCTAGACATAAAAGGCCACATGTTGTATGATTCCATTAGATGAAATGCCTAGAATGGGCAATTCCATGGAGACAGAAAGTAGAAGAGTGGTTGTCAGGAAGGAGAGTGACTGCTAACAGCTAAGGGTTTTTTCTGGAATTAGAGAGTGGTGGTGGTTGCGTAACTCTGTGAGTATACTAAAGCCACTGAATTGCATACTTTAATAAGATGAATTTCATGGTATGTGATTTATATCTCAATTAAAAAATAAATAAGATATATTTTTCAGCTATTAGAGAAATAAAAAAATTATCTTGTATAATATTTCTAGAAATAGATCTGAATCTTTATATCCAACTGGCATACCCCAACAATGACTCCCCACCCTGGCAGCCCACTAGAATCACTTGGGGAGCTTTTAAAAACATACAGATGCTTGGACCTCCTTCCTAGAGATTATGATTTAATTGGTCTGGGGTGGAGTTTGGGGACTGGTGTTTTTCAAAAGCTCCCCAGTTGATTCTAATGTGCAGCCAGAGTTGAGAACCACTGC